CATAAATTCTTTTGAAAATAAATGTCATAATCTTGACATTTTATCAAACATGTAGTAGACTTAAATCTCAAAATTTTTATTTTCAAAGCAACATAACTATTTTCAAGAGAATAAATCATATATATTGTACAAAATCATAGCATACTTCAAAACCTCCAAATTATAAGTTTAATCAAATACTCATAACTAACATCAAACTAGGTTTTCAAACTCATAACACTAAAATTATTTTGATGCATGTGGGTTCACAATTTATGACATATTCAACACTAAATCAAAGTTTATAACCAGTATTTTGCCATCAAACACATTGTAGGATTTAGCTAAATAAAATACTTGAGATGCACAAAGTAAATGAAAGAGAGAGGAAAACCCCACTTAAGAATCAAAAATTACAAGTTTAATCTCCAAGATTCTCAAACCAAGCCCAAGCTATAGAGTCCTTCTTCTATCTTCTTCTCTCTAGTTCTAAGGTGGGTGGAGGAGTATTGGGCGNATAGAGTCCTTCTTCTATCTTCTTCTCTCTAGTTCTAAGGTGGGTGGAGGAGTATTGGGCGAGACATATAAGAAAAATGAAAGAAATAGGCTGAATTTGAGGTTATAAGGGCTAAAATTCGCATCGGGTACTGTTCACAGGACCCAAAAAAATATATTTTTTTCAAAATTATAATTTTATCCCAAAACTTCTCCAATTTAATTCGTATGACTATTCTAAGATTTTTCGATGTTCCGGATCTATATTTAATGTTATTTTAGGCTAAAAAAATTTATTTTTATGAGTTCTATACAAATCCACGCCAAATTATACCCAAAATGCCAATTGTATAATTTTTACTCCTTTGAACCACTATATAAGCTAAACGTCTATTCTAAGGTTTACGGACCTCCCAGATTCAATGGTAATGTTATTTTGACATAAAAAACTTAATAAATTTATTTAATTACCCTTATCGACCTTAAACAGCTCAAAAATTAAATTTGACCCCAAAAATCAATACACATGTAGCTCAAACTTATGTGACTATTCATTTAACAGCGATTCAATTTTTTTTTTATTATTCTAATCATTTTAAAAATACTATTAATTTAATATCATTTATATTTATATGAAATACGAAATCTCACAGAAAAACTTGTGTACTATTTGATAAAAACAGTCAGTGGGGAATCTCCTGTTTATGATTGTTGGTTGCCTACCAATCTGAGCCTGAGTAAATAGGGGTTTATCAAAAAAATCTGAGGAAAAATTGAAAACAAGGGGAAGGGAGGTTTGAAATCCTATCCTTCTTAACCTTCCAGGAACCATCCTAATTGGCATTTTAACTGGACTTGACAAAAAGGGGTTGCTTGGATCTTTTTCTCCCTAAGAATTGAACGAACCAAGTCCATCTATACGAGAGTGAGGAATAAAAACTTGGCTACTAATAAAATAAGACTAAAAACCAAAAATAAGACTGAATAGTAGGTATAAAGTAAATTGCCTATGTTTCCAAATTAGTCCAACTTCGTACCTTTCTGACATAAATTGTATATCTCCTCTTGTACGCTAGCATACACCTCTTGTTCACTAGCATATTATGTCTTAACTTTAGGGCTGTATATAATATGTAAGCGCTAAACAATTTTTTTGTTTTTTTTTTGTTTTCTGCTTTAGTGTATCTAGCTTCTACTTCTTTAAGAATTCTAGTAGATTGTTGGTTTTTCTTAACCATTTTGATCATCCCGTGTTAGCACTATTCCGATAGCATTATCATTGAAGGCAAGATATAACTTAAGTTCCTTACATGCAAAAGAACTACGCTTAGCCCCTTGCTTATGAAATGACTTTGCTACAATGGATGGCAGAGGTCCACAGTACCCGAAGTACTGGAGTGATCCAATAGTCGGAAGGGGGCCTAGATGGTTGTGCTTAATCCGGGTATAGATGTTTATAATGTGAAATTCAAGAGACTCGATGTCAACTATCAGAGATTATCTTTTCCAACAATACTACTGAGGAGCAAAAGATTTTCTATTGTCAACTTTTGTTGATGCAGGCCCTCCCCCACTGCGCGAAATATCTGGGAATCCCTACAGTCTGGGAAATATCCAAGAAGGATGTTTTTGCCTACCTACTTGAGAGAGTAGCAAAAAAACTTCAATGATGGAAAGGTTGATGTCTCTCCTAGGCAGGCAAGGAAGTGTTAATTAAAGCAGTAATCCAGGCTATCCTTAATTAAGCCATGTCAGTGGTAGAATTTCCAAAAGCATTTTGTGATAAGTTGAACTCCTATGTAAGGAACTTTTGGTGGAAAGGGAGTGAGGATAAGAGGAGAATCTATTGGAGGAGGTGGGACAAAATGGTAGAAGCAAAGGCTGAGGGAGGAATGGGTTTCAGGGACTTCAAGCCTTTTAACCAAGCCCTCTTAGCCAAGCAATGTTGGAGACTGATTCACCAACCTGACTCCTATTGGGCTAAATTTATGAAGGCAATTTATTTTCCCAACAATGATCTAATGAAGGCGAAATGTGGAACGAGACCCTCGTGAGTCTGGATTGGCCTGTTGTATGGGAGAGAATTGCTGGAGAAAGGGCTTATGTGGCAAGTTGGAGATGGCTGTGATATCAATTTCTTGGAGGATAAATGGATTCCTCCCCTACCAAGCCAATCTATCAATTCTCCAATACCCAGGCCTGTTCCATTTACAAGGTGAAGGATGTCATTATAATGAACCCCAGACGATGGGATATTACCACTATGAGCAGTGTAATCTCAAGAGAGGAGATGAAGGTTATTCAAACCATTCCCTTGTCAGTTAGAGGGGGAAAGGATAGAAGAATTTGACGTCCTAGCAATAAGGGAGTTCACATAGTTAGATCTGGTTACAGACTGGGGTGCAAGCCTGGTTTGGATCAGTCGGGGGCTAGCACCTCCTTTTCCCCACATCCCAAATTATGGCAGTCCATTTGGAGTATGAAGGTGGTCCCAAAAATTAGACACTTTTGGTGGAAAGCCTGTCTTAACATTCTAGCTACAAGGGAAAATTTGATCAAGAGAAAGTGTGCCCTATCTTCTTTGTGCCAGATTTGCATGCTCGCTCCGGAATCCACTAAGCATATGTTGTTTGATTGTGAATGGACTAAATGTGTGTGGTTTGGGGTGAATCTTATGTTTCAAGGGGATGTTTCATCTTTCTTGTCTGTGGCTCAAAGATCATCCATGCTCATTCAGTCGGTACAGGGAGCTCAGTATAGACTCGAATTGTTGGGTAAAATGGCTACAGTGGGTTGAGAAATATGGAAAGCAAGAAACCAGTGCATCTTTAATATGGAGAAGGTTAATGCTTATGCTACTGTTATTCGTGCCAAAGCAATGTGGAGTGATCAGCTCAGAATCAGTGAGGTTGGAGCACCAAAGGAACAAAGGGGCTCTCCAGTTGTGTGTTATGAGGGGCAATCAGCATTGGCCTGTGATTTTCGATTTTTTTGTGATGGTGCCTTTAAGTCTGCCTCTTCCAAAGCTGCTTGTGGAGTTGTGGTTTGCAAGGATAATGGGGAACTCGTGTATGGCTGTGCAAAATCTCTCCCTACGGTTTCAAGTCTTTTCTCTGAAGCTGAGGCAGTGAGACAAGCCTACCTTTTGGCGGAAGCCCATCTGATCAGAAACGTTATTATCATGAATGACTGCCTCAACATCATTAAACTCAGCTCAAATGAAGACGTTTTCCCATGGGAAATTAGTGTAATTATTGAAGATACTAGACACTTGGCTAGGTTGTACAACTTTAGTTTCTTACATAAGCCTAGAGCCTTCATTAAGGTAGTTCACTGGGTCGCAGCCACATTGTTAAACATTCACTCCCGTTGAATTGGTTAGGCTCTCCCCCTCCCGCCAGCTTTCGACTTTACTTTTAACTGATTGTAACCTCAATTTTTTTACTTTTAATGATACAATTTCTTTGTTTGCGTTGATCAAAAAAAAAACTAGAAAATTCAATACTTGGGCTTGAGTGGAAAGACCTTCGTGCTTATTGAGTTGAACCAGTGACTTTTAGAACAAATATATAGGACAAAAGGAACTTCATTAAGGACACCTAACAAAAAACAGACTGTTTAGGGCCCACTTAGATTAGGGATCATTGTCTCCCAGTTCTTACCAATCTCTCGTGTCGTGTGTAATCAACATTTTGCTTACTTCACAACTTGATCGAATAAGAATCATTGATTCCCTTTGGTATCAATTAACTCAAACCCGAATGTCGCATTCACATGTCGATATACGATGGATAATCATAATTTTTTTAGATAATATTCAAATTACATGTCCAATACTTGTAATCCTAACCTTTACTAGGATTGAGGTCTTTAGAAACCTAACCTGTTATAGAATCCTTATACTTTTCGATAACAGTTGATAGAAAAAAAAGGGGTTTTCAAGAAAAAAACGTCATAGACTCAACATAGTCTATCTGGTCCGCTATGTTTCTCTTCAGCATCTCTTCCATTCCTACTACACGTGAATTTTGGCTAAGAAAAGGCACTTGAAAATTGTCATCAAAACAGGTTGAAATAACATACCATAAATGCTTGAAATGTCAAAATATAAGGCTTCACTACATTAGAACAGAGAGTGCCAATTCCTTCTAACATCTTGCAGAATACAATGGTAACTTAAATAAATACACATTTGGAATCAACTCAAGGGGAAACTTCACTAAATTTAAAGGTTGAAGCATTTCTAAAATCATACCCAAATATTCAGCTTTAAAAAAAATCTGCAAGCCACTCTCCCAAGAAAACATTCGGCAGTATTTTTTGATTGCTAAACGTCATACAGAAAGGATCATAATAACTCAAAGCAATCAAAACTAATGACAAACTTTCCTTATTTCAAAAATAATCTTCTCATCATGCACAAAAAACACAGAAAGTGCAACAAGATGCATTAAGACGCATTAGATAATTAATAGCCATCATCTTACATGAACATCTGCAAGGTTTTCTAGGGTGGGGGGGCGGGGGCGGGGGCATGTGAATCTGTTCCTTGGAAAAAATGTATTAGCTGCAAAAAAATCATGTATGACTATGACCCAATTACTGTAATCCTTATTCCCTGCATAGAAAGGAGACCATGTGATCATAAAAAGGCATTGACACGATGTTAAGGTAGCAGTGATCCATGTCAGAAACACAGTGGCTAAATTATGTAACTGGAAGTCTGGAAAGATATATTTTGCCTGTTTTTTCAAATTGTTATTTAATATCACAAACATTCTATCTCACTGCTACTCTTCAACTACATCTTCTCTGGCCACTCTGGGCATCAGAAGAATTCAGTTACCCATCTGAGGAACTATCTCTTGTAACAAAACCAGGGTTTCCATGTATGTATCAACATGAAAAGAGCGTGTGTTCCCAAGGATTTCAAGGTCCTTGATCAGTCCCGTCTTGGGGTCATAAGCAACCAGCTTGCAGCTCCTCGGTGACAGCAAAACTTCACCATTCTTCCTAAATCCTATTATTTTCTCCAATGTTCCCTCTAGATCAATATTAAATAATCTAGTCCATGACTCTGCAACTCCATACTCTTTCATAACCCACACACAACATGACATAGTTCCTATTTCTTTATCGTATTCGATCACAGCAAGAGATTCCCTAAATACAGAAATAGACAAGTTTGTCGCAATCTCACCAGCCAAAGCATCAGGAAGCACAATCTCATCAAATACCTCTTCACCCAGATCAAATGACACTATCAAACTACGGAACCTGAACTCGAAACGCCGATTATTTGCAATCCAATGCACAACCCCATTTACCAAAGCCTGTGACCACATAAATTCCACCATACAATATGAAGGAGCAGCCGAATTAATGCTTCTCCACGATCCCGTGCTAAGCGTGTAAATCTCAACATCGGGAGGGGCTTCGTAGCCATTAAAAAACCCTTTGTAATATACAATTCTCACCACTTTGAAATCTTGAGTCATTGGGTCCACTCCGAAACCAAGCACAAACATGTGTGGTGATTTTGGCTTACTGGGTTTTGGCAGAGTAACCGATTTCCTAATCGATGGGTTCCACAGAATTATAGTTTCCATATCACCAAATAAATCATCAGACAAGCATATCAACCCATTGCAACCACCAACTATTCTAAAATACCCAATTGGACTCTTAAATGGAAATTCCAGTTCCGAAAAACTAACCCCAAATGTTTCATCTTCTCGGTGTAATGTATAGTGCTCGTTGTGGTCATTCTTGTCGTAATGTCTGATAAAAAGTGTGGGATGGTCGATTTTGCTGTTCAAAATGGTGCGATTGAGGTGTGTGACGATGAAATTAGGGCTTGTGATCAAAGAGTGCCATGCCTTGCAGACGAGTATGCATCGGAGGATGGATTTGACGGGTAGTTTTGTGAGGATTTCAATTATGATTTCGTGAGGTAAATAGTCTGACATTGATGCTAATTTATAGGGGTTTCCAGACAGAAAAGGTAACAAAACCTTAGAATTTGAGAAAGAGGATTGAAAATATCATAATTGAGCAATGGACTTACTGAGGCTTTGGTCTTTCGGACTTGGGAGAGACTTCGCACATGGAGCTACGCCGGATAACAGAGAGATGAAAGAGAGAGTCAGGGAAATGTGCAGAGAGAGAGGGTGAAGAGAAAAGTCGAAAACCTAGCCCTTTTCCATCAACTAACAGTAAGCCCCAAATCCCAAAGAAAATATATAGGTAAAATTCACACAGACCCCACCCCTTGCGTCAAATTCCATGGAGATCCCCAAACCTTTCAATAATAATAATAAACTGATCTGTAAGCATTTTTTTTTTTTTTTGCTTGTGACTTTTAATTATTATTATTTATTTGAAGATGGGTCGTGAATGTTGAGTGTTGACCTTCACCACATATCATCAAACTAATTTTCACCTCGATCTGATTAAAGGTACGTTATTCACGCTAAGATTAAAATATTTATAAAAGATAAATATGGTTTCAAAGAGTTGATCAAATTCACACTCAAACTCTCTGATACAGTCAATGACAAGTCATCAATGTCAGAACTAGAATGTTTATAAACGATAAAATCCCTCGTGGCCTGACTTTAATGAGTTGTCAAAATTCACACTTTGGACATCTGAATTTACAGTTAACTAGTTCATGTTACCACTTGAACTACCGATTGAAATTTTGCCCCATATCATCTGACGAACCATAAAATTCCTAACAAAAAGAAAAATTCAAAGTTAAAATATTTTGACATTTCCTAAATTACCTTTATTTATGTAGTAAAGTATGATTTGAAAGACAATATTGAACCAAATTGTATATTATTTTCTAATTAAATTTGTCTTCTTCTTTCCACTTTCAATTTTAATTTTTAAAAAATGACTTAACCGTATTTACCCAAACAACAAATTAATCAGCCATCAAGGCATGTGCCACCATCACCATTCCCCCCTCTTCTCCAAACACACATTTATGCATAAAAGTTCTTCCCTTGGTGATTGTGTAAACATTAAAAAATTAAATTAATTTCTATAATTGGGTTAAATCGATTAAATAAATTACTAAAATAAAATTAAGTTAGACTTAAATTCCAAAATTCAGAATAATATAAATTCAAGTTTAATTAAACAGACTTATAAATTCTAAAATTAAAATTAATTGAACTTAAATTTTGTAAGTCCAAATAATATAAATTCATTAGAGTCCAAAAATTTAAATAAATATAGGTGGTCCATTACCTAAAGCTGATATAAAAGTATTCAAGTAAAATATCATTTTATGGATAATTGTTGAGGAGGAAGATCAAGAAACCTCCGCTTGAGTCCATCCTAGGAGAAGAAGAGAAGATCAAGAAAATTTTGTCAGAGTCCATCACAAGAGGAAAAAGGAAGATCAGTACTGAACCTCTGCTGAAGTCAACCTCTAACTTAAGTCTTATCAATCCATCTTTAAAGAGAAAAGCACATCGTCAAAGTTCTTCTTCGAGAAATTCAAATCATTTTCTAATCATCCAACACAAAAAACACTAAGAAGATCCACCAAAGTCATTATCAATCCAAAAACGAGAATCTCGTAAATCAGATGCCCATCTTCAGCAAATCCATCATTAAATTGAAGATTGAGAATTATGTCAACTTAGCATTTGTCTTCATCAAATTCACCCAAGTTATTTCCAAATTGAAGATCAATAATCACGTCGATCAAATCCTCATTATCACCAAATTTATCAAAACATCACCAATTTGAAGATTGAGAATCACGCTAATCGAGTTCTTACCATCTAAATCCACCAAAGTCAACAACAAATCGAAAATAAAAAAACAAGTTGATCAAGTTTTTGTCTCATCAAATTCATCAAAGCTACCACCAAACCAAAGGTCAAAAAACACATCGATTTGATCCTCGTCATTATCAAATCTATTGTTAATTAGAGAATAGTGCACGTGAAAAGCACACTAAAAAACGTCAACACCACTAATTTTTTTGTTCAAAATCAAACGATTGTAATTTAACATTGTTTTGTTTTAATTTTGTACACAAAATTTGTCGTTACAGATTAATTGAGACGTCAAAACTGGAAACCTACCTCCATCATTCCCTAAGAATTATATCGAGGAAATTTAGATAGTTGGACATATTACAAAAGCATTTAATACTGTTAACACAAACCCACTTTCTTAAGAGTTCGACTCAATTTTGACTCCTTCAATTGTATTCAGCGCAATGAATAAAATGTCTAATTTTTAATCAAAAAATTGTTTGATGTAAATGAGTATTTTTTTTTTTTCAAGATTTATATGATATCAAGCTCGATTGGAGCCTGACATAGACTTCACGTATGTTCAAGTAGAACAAAAACGTGAGAGCTTACTATATGATCTAGGATTCAAGCAAGGTTTGAGAAAGAACCCAAACTTATCAACTTACCTCAAGAGTGTAATACCAATTTGAGTTTAAGTTTTAATGTAGCAAAGTTCGAAAATGACAAATTGCAACCAAATATGTACATGCAATAGATGTGTATCTCCTTCAAATCCCTTTAACCCTGAGAAATATTGTGTTGGGAAAATAAGATGAATATTGACATAAACCCAAAACCCCCACCTCAAACCCAAGAAAATATTCAATGTAATAGAGATATCGTGGTATCGCTTTGTTATGATGTCACTAGCTAATAAAAAAAATAAGTAAACATGATAAAGTAATTGAATCTCATATAATTCAAGAAGTATCTCTATATATGATCTAAATTATGTAACTGGAATGATCTATTTTGCCTTTTTTTTGCAAATTGCTATTTAATATCACTAACATTCTACCTCTTCAACTACATTCGCTTGTCTTCTCTGGCCACTATGAGCATCGCAAGAATTCAGTTACCCCTCTCAGGGGCCTTGAACTAAACCAGCCTCACTTAAGCAAGGAATGACCGACTTAGGAGCTCACCTTCACACCCAACTTGATCAGGAGGGGACCGACTTTTTATGCGAGACTGCTTTGTGTCGGATAATGAAACGGTACTCTGTAGTAGACCTCTGGCCTCAGAGATAGACCCATTATAGGACTAAGACAAATAAGGCATATTCGGTGCCCCAACTATATAGTTATTCCAGACCCCGCTTGCGCTTTATCTGGTGCTCGTACTGGTTCGGAACTGGGTGAAGGGATGCGGGTCGTGTGGTGCTGAACTTCTCAAACCAAGCACGAGGAGCCTATTTTAGACCATAGAGAGCCGACTCATTGAATAAAGGACCGGCAAACCTAAAACTGTTTTGTTTCTACGAGCTGCCTTCCAAGTGAGAACCAACCGAGCACTCTTTCGTAGAGCTACTTACCCGAGAGTACCGGAACTGAACTAACGCTTTGATTTCCCTAATAAAACCAGGGTTTCCATGTATGTATCAACATGAAAGGAGCGCGTGTCACCAAGGATTTCAAGGTCCTTGATCAGTCCCATCTTGGGGTCATAAGCAACCAGCTTGCAGCTCCTCGATGACAACAAAACTTCACCATTCTTCCTAAATCCTATTATTTTCTCCAATGTTCCCACTAGATGAATGCTAAATAATTTAGTCCATGAATCTGCAACTCCATACTCTTTCATAACCCACACACAACATGACGTAGTTCCTATTTCCTTATCATACTTGATCACAGCAAGGGACTCCCTAAATACAGAAGTAGACAAGTTTGTCGCAATCTCACCAGCCAAAGCCTCAGGAAGCACAATCTCATGAAATACCTCTTCACCCAAATCGAATGACACAATCAAACTGCAGAACCCGAACTCAAAACATGGATTATATGCAATCCAATGCACAACCCCATTTACCAAAGCCTGTGACCACATATATTCCACCATACAATATGAAGGAGCAGCCGAATTAATGCTTCTCCACGATCCTGTGCTGAGCGTGTAAATCTCAACATTGGGAGGGGCTTCGTAGCCACTAAAAAACCCTTTGTAATATACAATTCTCACCACTTTGAAATCCTGAGTCATTGGGACAACTCCGAAACCAAGCACAAACATGTGTAGTGATTTTGACTTACTGGGTTTTGGCAGAGTAACCGATTTCCTAATCGATGGGTTCCATAGAATTATAGTTGTCATATCACCAAATAAATCATAAGACAAGCATATCAACCCATTGCAACAACCAACTATTCTAAAATACCCAATTGGAATCTTAAATGGAAATTCCAGTTCCGAAAAACTAACCCCAAATGTTTCATCTTCTCGGTGTAATGTATAGTGCTCGTTCTGGCCATTCTTGTCGTAACGTCTGATGAAAAGTGTGGGATGGTAGATTTTGCTGCTCAAAACGGTGCGATTGAGGTGTCTGACGATGAAATTAGGGCTTGTGATCAAAGAGTACCATGCCTTGCAGACGAGTATGCATCGGAGGATGGATTTGACGGGTAGTTTTGTGAGGATTTCAATTATGATTTCGTGAGGTAAATAGTCTGACATTGATGCTAATTTATAGGGGTTTCCAGACAGAAAAGGTAACAAAACCTTAGAATTTGAGAAAGAGGATTGAAAATATCATAATTGAGCAATGGACTTACTGAGGCTTTGGTCTTTCGGACTTGGGAGAGACTTCGCACATGGAGCTACGCCGGATAACAGAGAGATGAAAGAGAGAGTCAGGGAAATGTGCAGAGAGAGAGGGTGAAGAGAAAAATCGAAAACCTAGCCCTTTTCCATCAACTAACAGTAAGCCCCAAATCCCAAAGAAAATATATAGGTAAAATTCACACAGACCCCACCCCTTGCGTCAAATTCCATGGAGATCCCCAAACCTTTCAATAATAATAATAAACTGATCTGTAAGCATTTTTTTTTTTTTTTGCTTGTGACTTTTAATTATTATTATTTATTTGAAGATGGGTCGTGAATGTTGAGTGTTGACCTTCACCACATATCATCAAACTAATTTTCACCTCGATCTGATTAAAGGTACGTTATTCACGCTAAGATTAAAATATTTATAAAAGATAAATATGGTTTCAAAGAGTTGATCAAATTCACACTCAAACTCTCTGATACAGTCAATGACAAGTCATCAATGTCAGAACTAGAATGTTTATAAACGATAAAATCCCTCGTGGCCTGACTTTAATGAGTTGTCAAAATTCACACTTTGGACATCTGAATTTACAGTTAACTAGTTCATGTTACCACTTGAACTACCGATTGAAATTTTGCCCCATATCATCTGACGAACCATAAAATTCCTAACAAAAAGAAAAATTCAAAGTTAAAATATTTTGACATTTCCTAAATTACCTTTATTTATGTAGTAAAGTATGAATTGAAAGACAATATTGAACCAAATTGTATATTATTTTCTAATTAAATTTGTCTTCTTCTTTCCACTTTCAATTTTAATTTTTAAAAAATGACTTAACCGTATTTACCCAAACAACAAATTAATCAGCCATCAAGGCATGTGCCACCATCACCAACCATCACCATTCCCCCCTCTTCTCCAAACACACATTTATGCATAAAAGTTCTTCCCTTGGTGATTGTGTAAACATTAAAAAATTAAATTAATTTCTATAATTGGGTTAAACCGATTAAATAAATTACTAAAATAAAATTAAGTTAGACTTAAATTCCAAAAGTCAGAATAATATAAATTCAAGTTTAATTAAACAGACTTATAAATTCTAAAATTAAAATTAATTGAACTTAAATTTTGTAAGTCCAAATAATATAAATTCATTAGAGTCCAAAAATTTAAATAAATATAGGTGGTCCATTACCTAAAGCTGATATAAAAGTATTCAAGTAAAATATCATTTTATGGATAATTGTTGAGGAGGAAGATCGAGAAACCTCCGCCTGAGTCCATCCTAGGAGAAGAAGAGAAGATCAAGAAAATTTTGTCAGAGTCCATCACAAGAAGAAAAAGGAAGATCAGTACTGAACCTCTGCTGAAGTCAACCTCTAACTTAAGTCTTATCAGTCCATCTTTAAAGAGAAAAGCACATCGTCAAAGTTCTTCTTCGAGAAATTCAAATCATTTTCTAATCATCCAACACAAAAAACACTAAGAAGATCCACCAAAGTCATTATCAATCCAAAAACGAGAATCTCGTAAATCAGATGCCCATCTTCAGCAAATCCATCATTAAATTGAAGATTGAGAATTATGTCAACTTAGCATTTGTCTTCATCAAATTCACCCAAGTTATTTCCAAATTGAAGATCAATAATCACGTCGATCAAATCCTCATTATCACCAAATTTATCAAAACATCACCAATTTGAAGATTGAGAATCACGCTAATCGAGTTCTTACCATCTAAATCCACCAAAGTCAACAACAAATCGAAAATAAAAAAACAAGTTGATCAAGTTTTTGTCTCATCAAATTCATCAAAGCTACCACCAAACCAAAGGTCAAAAAACACATCGATTTGATCCTCGTCATTATCAAATCTATTGTTAATTAGAGAATAGTGCACGTGAAAAGCACACTAAAAAACGTCAACACCACTAATTTTTTTGTTCAAAATCAAACGATTGTAATTTAACATTGTTTTGTTTTAATTTTGTACACAAAATTTGTCGTTACAGATTAATTGAGACGTCAAAACTGGAAACCTACCTCCATCATTCCCTAAGAATTATATCGAGGAAATTTAGATAGTTGGACATATTACAAAAGCATTTAATACTGTTAACACAAACCCACTTTCTTAAGAGTTCGACTCAATTTTGACTCCTTCAATTGTATTCAGCGCAATGAATAAAATGTCTAATTTTTAATCATAAAAATTGTTTGATGTAAATGAGTATTTTTTTTTTTTCAAGATTTATATGATATCAAGCTCGATTGGAGCCTGACATAGACTTCACGTATGTTCAAGTAGAACAAAAACGTGAGAGCTTACTATATGATCTAGGATTCAAGCAAGGTTTGAGAAAGAACCCAAACTTATCAACTTACCTCAAGAGTGTAATACCAATTTGAGTTTAAGTTTTAATGTAGCAAAGTTCGAAAATGACAAATTGCAACCAAATATGTACATGCAATAGATGTGTATCTCCTTCAAATCCCTTTAACCCTGAGAAATATTGTGTTGGGAAAATAAGATGAATATTGACATAAACCCAAAACCCCCACCTCAAACCCAAGAAAATATTCAATGTAATAGAGATATCGTGGTATCGCTTTGTTATGATGTCACTAGCTAATAAAAAAAATAAGTAAACATGATAAAGTAATTGAATCTCATATAATTCAAGAAGTATCTCTATATATGATCTAAATTATGTAACTGGAATGATCTATTTTGCCTTTTTTTTGCAAATTGCTATTTAATATCACTAACATTCTACCTCTTCAACTACATTCGCTTGTCTTCTCTGGCCACTATGAGCATCGCAAGAATTCAGTTACCCCTCTCAGGGGCCTTGAACTAAACCAGCCTCACTTAAGCAAGGAATGACCGACTTAGGAGCTCACCTTCACACCCAACTTGATCAGGAGGGGACCGACTTTTTATGCGAGACTGCTTTGTGTCGGATAATGAAACGGTACTCTGTAGTAGACCTCTGGCCTCAGAGATAGACCCATTATAGGACTAAGACAAATAAGGCATATTCGGTGCCCCAACTATATAGTTATTCCAGACCCCGCTTGCGCTTTATCTGGTGCTCGTACTGGTTCGGAACTGGGTGAAGGGATGCGGGTCGTGTGGTGCTGAACTTCTCAAACCAAGCACGAGGAGCCTATTTTAGACCATAGAGAGCCGACTCATTGAATAAAGGACCGGCAAACCTAAAACTGTTTTGTTTCTACGAGCTGCCTTCCAAGTGAGAACCAACCGAGCACTCTTTCGTAGAGCTACTTACCCGAGAGTACCGGAACTGAACTAACGCTTTGATTTCCCTAATAAAACCAGGGTTTCCATGTATGTATCAACATGAAAGGAGCGCGTGTCACCAAGGATTTCAAGGTCCTTGATCAGTCCCATCTTGGGGTCATAAGCAACCAGCTTGCAGCTCCTCGATGACAACAAAACTTCACCATTCTTCCTAAATCCTATTATTTTCTCCAATGTTCCCACTAGATGAATGCTAAATAATTTAGTCCATGAATCTGCAACTCCATACTCTTTCATAACCCACACACAACATGACGTAGTTCCTATTTCCTTATCATACTTGATCACAGCAAGGGACTCCCTAAATACAGAAGTAGACAAGTTTGTCGCAATCTCACCAGCCAAAGCCTCAGGAAGCACAATCTCATGAAATACCTCTTCACCCAAATCGAATGACACAATCAAACTGCAGAACCCGAACTCAAAACATGGATTATATGCAATCCAATGCACAACCCCATTTACCAAAGCCTGTGACCACATATATTCCACCATACAATATGAAGGAGCAGCCGAATTAATGCTTCTCCACGATCCTGTGCTGAGCGTGTAAATCTCAACNGGATTTAAATTTCATAAGTCCAAATAATACAAATTCAAGTTTAATTAAACATACTTCTAAATTCTAAATTTAAACTTAATTGAATCTAATTTTTATAAGTCCAAGTAATCTATAACATAAAATATGACAGATTTCAATAAGTTCATCTGACAGTCATAAATAGATTCATCAAACGACCACTAATATTCCTCTCAAAGTCATTCAAATTGAATTTTTTTTACACCCAAAGTCATCACAAATCTCACTTACCTTGCACCGTGCCTTTAGACATAGGTTACACATAGTATAAATCTATTAGATTCCATAAATTTAAATGAATATAGGTGACCCAGTACCTAAAGTTGATATAAAAGTATTCAGGTAAATAATCATTATATGGATAACTACTAATGATACACAAATTAGGTTTGTAGACCACCTGTTAATTAAACAGTAAAAAATGCAGTAATTGATAAGTGAGAGATAGAGACAAAAGCAAGACAAGGTTTATAGTGGTTCGGTCTACATGACTTACGTCCACTTTGAATGGCTAGGATCGTCGAATATTTTATTAACTCAAGTGTGTAGGGAGAGCAAAGAGTTACAAGCTATGAGAGAGAGAGGAGAGATATGCTCGATTGAGTGTGATGCCCCCTAAGTGTTGGCGGAGCTTACAATTTATAGTCGCCTCATAACGGATTAGGTGGCGACTTAATTCTGATTAAATAGTTAATTTGGCGGTCAAAATGGATTTGGGCGATTTAATAGTAATTAAATAGCTGATCTGACGGAGGTGACGATCTCTTATCAACGGGCGAGGTGGTTACGGTGTTCTCCATGAGATTCAATCAAGATGAGGTGAGGATTGACTCTTTCCAAAGCGACAAAGATGAGGCCTTGGATGACCCTTACTCCAAGGTGGCTAGGAGGAGGCTATTGGATAACCCTTGCATACTCCCCCTGTTGATGTAGCTCCGCAAACCTAATGAGCTTGATTGGACGTGGACCACTTCGGGCGCTGGATCTCTTAAAGTTGAGCTCTTAATTTAAACTGGGCTTGTAGCATGAGTTGACCCCTTGGGCTTGGCCCATCATTTACCCCTAAATCCCTGTGTCCAATGAAACTTAGAGATGAGGGCATTTTGTTGAATTTAAATTTTGGCTGAACGTACAACTGAAAAAACTTCGAGAGGCCAAAATATCTATTTCTAGCCTTTTTTTAGACTTTTAACAGCATCAGTCACAACCAAAGTCTATGAGTCTTGTAAGGCTCACCAAAAGCTTTGATTTGATATATTATGGGGAGTAATGATATATGAATTTAAAAAATAGACTTGATAATCTCAACCATTGAATAGGTAGTGAGTTCTAATAAATGCTGAAACCCACAGTGAAATCAATGATTGTAATTGTCAAGTCTAATTTTTAAGTCTATGTAGCATTACTCTATTATGGTCCCATTTAGAGTAACGAAATAAAAGTTACGATCAAAATAGCGAGCAGGAAGCTGAGCGCTCAATTTGGGTGAATAGNCCTGTGTCCAATGAAACTTAGAGATGAGGGCATTTTGTTGAATTTAAATTTTGGCTGAACGTACAACTGAAAAAACTTCAAGAGGCCAAAATATCTATTTCTAGCCTTTTTTTAGACTTTTAACAGCATCAGTCACAACCAAAGTCTATGAGTCTTGTAAGGCTCACCAAAAGCTTTGATTTGATATATTATGGGGAGTAATGATATATGAATTTAAAAAATAGACTTGATAATCTCAATCATTGAATAGGTAGTGAGTTCTAATAAATGCTGAGACCCACAGTGAAATCAATGGTTGTAATTGTCAAGTTTAATTTTTAAGTCTATGTAGCATTACTCTATTATGGCCCCATTTGGAGTAACGAAACAAAAGTTACGATCAAAATAGCGAGCAGGAAGCTGAGCGCTCAATTTGGGTGAATAGACAGCCTCTGGGCGAGCAGACAGTTGAATTTTTTTTGAAAACCTTCAGGAGGCCAAAACAGTTGTTTTCGAGATTTTTTTGGAATTTTTACAGTGCCTTTCACTACCAAAGGTAGTGAGTTTTGTAGGGCTCGCCAATAGCTTCGATTTGATATATAATAATCCCTATTTGGAGTTTCGGATCAAAAGTTACGGTCAAAATAGTGATCAGGCCTTTTCNATCATTGAATAGGTAGTGAGTTCTAATAAATGCTGAGACCCACAGTGAAATCAATGGTTGTAATTGTCAAGTTTAATTTTTAAGTCTATGTAGCATTACTCTATTATGGCCCCATTTGGAGTAACGAAACAAAAGTTACGATCAAAATAGCGAGCAGGAAGCTGAGCGCTCAATTTGGGTGAATAGACAGCCTCTGGGCGAGCAGACAGTTGAATTTTTTTTGAAAACCTTCGGGAGGCCAAAACAATTGTTTCCGAGCTTTTTTTGGAATTTTTATAGTGCCTTTCACTACCAAAGGCAGTGAGTTTTGTAGGGCTCGTCAATAGCTTCGATTTGATATATAATAAGCCCTATTTGGAGTTTCGGATCAAAAGTTACGGTCAAAATAGTGATCAGGCCTTTTCAAATCCGAATTTCTTGAAAACTCCTCTTGATCGGCAACCCCCTCCTTTCCAGTAGACTCCATTTGCTTGAGGGACACCATTGGTCATATAAACTCCTTCATTTGCTCCCATTTTTTGGATTCTTGAAGAGCCCTAAGCTATAAATTAGGGTTTTTTTTGCCTTTTCTTTCCTCAATAGGATTTCAAGAAGCCCTAGGCAATAAATAGAAAACTTCTCCTTCATTTTGCCCATTTCATTTAACTTTGAGAGAGGAAAGTGGAGCTTTTCTTGGAATCCTTCAAGAACAAGTAGGTGAGGTTCTTGAGTTGAAATTCTATGAACAATGTCGAATGGTGGAGAACATGTGCTAAGGTATGCAAATCCTGGTGTGTAACTTGGAGAAGTTGGTGTTGTCCCCATAAAAGAGATAGAAGTGCGCGTCCCGAGGGAGGTGGAACCGTCGTGGGGTGCCTCTGATGTTGTTGTTCACGCAAGGGGCTCGCAGGACTCGCTATTGGGCGAGGCAGCCAAGGGATTGGGCGCCCATTTGGTGAGGCAAGGAGTGAGGCGGGCTAGAAGAGGCGCGCGACCCAACTGCAGTTGCCTGTTGTCCANCGTGGGGTGCCTCTGCTGCTGTTGTTCACGTAAGGGGCTCGCAGGACTCGCTATTGGGCGAGGCAGCCAAGGGATTGGGCGCCCATTTGGTGAGGCAAGGAGTGAGGCAGGCTAGAAGAGGCGCGCAACCCAGCTGCAGCTGCCTGTTGTCCATGCAGAGGATGGCTTGGGTGGTCCGAGCAGCTTGGGCAAGCCTAGAAGGGAGCTTGTTGGTCAAGAGGATCATGCCACTGAGGATGGGCGAGCGGCTTAGGGTGCCGAGCGTATGGGCGCCCTTGCCACGGTGTTGGGCAAGATGCTTTTGTGTGCAAAGAAGGCAAGCAAGGGCAGACACAGAAAGGCACGCGTAGTGCATGCAGGCGACGCGGGGGGGGGGGGGGGGG